TAAAATGTTCAAAAAAGCGACAGTGTTCATTTTTTCATCATAAATTTCAAAAAGATTGCCATTTTGGCGCTGGACGCGCGCGTCTCCCATTTGAAGTAAACCGCGGCGGCAATGACAACGAAGTCTGTGGATCGGGGATCTCGACGATGTGGACTGGACCACATTTAATTGGCATCGGCTCGGCTGCAACCCGTTTTTGCTGTTTTGCAGTTTATATATCCTTTTTTTTTGTTTTTTTGTTTTTCCCTGCTGCTGCTGGCCGTGCTTTTCTGTTTTTTGCGAGTAATTTTCAAATCAAACCAAGGTCTCTTATCTCCACCTTCGAGTCGCTGCCTTTTGGCATGCGCGTGCGCAGCGGCAATTTGATGAAATGCATATGAAATCAAAAGTGAATTTCGACGGGACGAGATCACATACTTAATACAGCTGCGGCAAAAACAATAACACTTGTAGATTTAACGTTTCTGCTGTAAATGTAAAAGTTCGTTTTATTGCATAATTTTCTTTTAAATTATTACAATAAAAAAATATTATTATTCTAAATTATACATGTTCAAGAAAATTAAAAACTAAAATATATTCTGTTTTATTAGGCATTTTTTTCTGTTTTCCTTATAATGGTTGAGATAAATGAAAAATAAATATCTATGCAAAATAGAAAAATTAACAACATTTGCACTGCTATTTTTGTCGACGCCACTGTTCACCTATATGTGGTGCAAAAACCGAGAGAGAGTGCTTGGCGACTAATTAGCCCAGACACGCAGTGAATGCGATACGAATCCGAATGCATTTAAATATATAAAAGACTCATATTTTCAATGGCGTAATGCCACGCGACTTGGTCTAGTCTTGAGGATCCTGGAATGGCCCGCCAGCAGTTGAATATGTTCGCAGCTCTTTTCTGATCCAATTAAATGTCGTAAATTTTATTAAAAAAGCGATTTCAATCGTCTGCACAGCCTAGGGACTTCAAAAAGCCATAGAATCCGTCTAGAAAAGAACTAAAAACAAAAAAAAAATCGACACATTGAAAACTGCTTTGGTAAACATATAAGCGAAACAATTAATTTAGGAAACACTATTAAAAGCATCCAAGGTGCCGATGTTGTTAAAAACTATACGTATTTTGGCCCACTCTTTTCGTTTTCTAGTCATGCTAAATATTATCTTAATTAAATAATGAAATATTGTTGAGAATATTATTATATTATCAAAATGGTTAGCTAAAAAAATTTCTTTGTATAAATTCAATATAATGACATTTAAATTTAGTGGGTTTTAACCTCTGTTTTTAAAGGAAGTATTTTTTTTTTTTCGAGATCTTACACGAAAGTTTTCCCCAGCCTCCAATGTCCCCAATTTATTTGTTTTCTTTGCTCTCTGGCAATTAAAGAAAGGTGCTTCCCGCACGAGTCTATAATTAAAGGAGGAAAGAACGCTTTTGATGATCGCCGGATGCCGCACTAAAGGTAATTAATTTAAATAATTTCGCAAAGTGAAAGCCCCGCGGTTGAATTAAGACATTTTGGCTTGGTAATTAAGGCATTTTTTTTTCGGAAAGATAATGAAAGAAAGGAAGAGTCGTCACGTGACTCTATTTAAAAACAAATTAAAAAATGCATTACGTTTTTAAAAATGTAAAATGTATATATAACATGTATAAAAGTTGCCCTTTTTTTTTAAAGTACAAGTATTAAACTTAAATGTTCTTATCCAAAATCGTAATCCCTTTTGATAGTTTTATTGGACCCAATTGTGCTCTCACTTTCAATAATTTTTAATAGCCGTCAAATGATGCTGCATCCCAGAATAATCCCCTTGAAACGGTTTCCATTATGAATTACGTACTTCGAGGGATCAGAACCAGAACGCATCATTATCATTTCACCTGCATTGTCAAGTATAATCAGCTTAACTAATGAAAACTTCAGAATTCAATTTCTGATCCTGCAACGCAGACGCACGCAACAGGAGATCCTTTTGGTAAAATCGAGTTTGGTGGGCGTTTTTAATTGCAGGGGCTGGGAAATTGAACATTATTTTCGTTGGTCAGGGAAACACTGGGAAACACTGGGAAACCCAGGAAACTGTAACAATGACAAGTGCACCTTTGTGTGTGGAAAATGGAGGACCGGTCTGGTTCTCTATTGTATTTATACTCCCTTTGCCGCGTTGCACTTGTATTTCGCAAGAAGTTACATAACATCACAATTACGTGGACAATTGTGCACGCGAGCTATTGTCGGCATTTTTGTTTTTATCTTGGGGCTAACACGCCCATTTAGGGATATAGACATCTAGATCTATCGGCGCGAATATCTCTAATTGCAATGCGGTGACATCTCTAGCACTCTTTGTCAAGAAAGAGGGGTGAGCTTCTCCCCCTTTTTCTCGCTGTGGAGAAATCCTGGAAAGATGTCAGGGCCGAACATAAATTACATTATTCTTTGTCAACATTTGTGAGTCAAAAAGTCGCGTTCATGTTAAACAAATAACTCACTTGTTGCTCCCTGGAAGTTATTTACGAGACATCAGTCAGCATCAGACGGTGTCTGGAACCGTGGTTGTGTTGTAATCAGAGCATCCTTAATAAATCATAAATTTATTCGCCCAGCGTTGCATGTAAAGAGCAACGCTGCTCCGAACATAAAAAGTAAAGAAAACCCAGAAAGAATGAGATTAGTTGTGGACTTCGAATTGGAGATACCCAGGGCTTTTCTGTAACAAGAATATGTCACTTAAAAAGTATGGATTTACTTTTGGAAGTAATAATATTCAACCTTGTGAACTGAACCACTCAAATATATATGTTTAAAAAACCGCATTATTATTGCAACTTTATGATAACATTCTTGAAAATAGTTTGAATTTCTTTTTTCTTAAAATGGTGTTAGATATTAGCAATTTAAAAGTATTTGTTGAATCATTTATATGCCCAATGGTGGCATGGTATTATTATAAATTTTTTTAATTCCATATAATAATTATGTATACACCAACTAGGATTGTGCTATTACATACTTCAGCATACATTCAATATACCCTTAAACCAACTGAAGAAGGGGTACATTTATACGGCCAATACCCCTTTGGGGTTTTTAAGCGGCCCCGGGGCGATCTGGAGCGATCTGCTACATATTTCTGCATATATTTTTGCGATCGATCCCCTTTTCGGGGCCATGTCAAACGTATTATTAACTTCACACAAAAAGCGTTCGATTTTGCACCGTTTGCTGTCGCCGAGACATTGTGTCGTATGTCGCCCATTGAGACCGCCAATGGAGGAGGGCAACCCCCCTTTAACCTTTTCCGTTTTTCGAGCTCGAAATCACCATCTCCCTCGCTGGCAGAATCCTTCCTACTTTGGGCCCCGGAGATTTTGTTTTTGGTTTTGGTTTTAGTGCCAAGACAAAACGTTTCATATATGCAATGCAAAAACAGGAAAAACGCCGGAAATAATAATTTGATAAATGCGCCATGAAGAGAGCTGTGGGCCCCAGAACCGAACCGTTCGATTCTTCTCCAAAGCTGCCCCCAAAGAACATTGCGCGAAATTTAAGGCAAAAAAAATTATAGGTTATAGAAAAAATGGATTTACCCAACAAAGGAACTTAAATCTAAAGGGGTTTGAATAGATAACTAATCCGCATTTGATTAAAAAAAAATGCGCTTTGGAAAAGCTGTTAAAAGTACCTATTCGAGAAGGCATTGGAATCTTGTAATTGTCTAACTTGAGCCATTATAATGTAGATTTTAGGAGAATTTTCCAACAACTTTCGACAGGTGGCTATGCCACTTTGAAATCCTGACAAGTTATGGCTTAATTGGGAAACTTGGGTACCAAATTTTAAATAATATGTGAATGTAATGCCTTATTTTTCACTGTGCAGCAACGTTCGAATTGACTGCTCTTATTTTGCACCGCATGTCGAATCGATTGGCATGGAAACTTGCCCGAAACAGCAGATCAGTTATAGGTGCAGTTATTTAGCCTCCGAGTCGAGAGTCTCGATTAACGGAAGTGCGTATCCCCCAATATTCATTGATCTATTAAAGAGTTTCAGCTCTGGGAAAAAAACAGGAAATTCGCGTGGGATGTAAAGAACTCCATAGTCCTATCCCATGGACAAGTTCAATGTCGTTTGGCATTTGGCTTCCTACATATTGCTTATATGTATTTTATCTGTGGCATCTTCATCGCGACAGCTTCCGTTGCAAAAAAGACCCCAGCAGATTCCACTTTATTTCTTAGCTTTGTCGGGGGCGATCTGAGCAATTGCCGACCTGTGTTTTTGCCTCTTGTTTCGCCAGCATTGCTGGAATAACTCAAAATTAGTTCAACAATCGATCGATCGATCGCTTGGGAATTGTCGGCACTCAGCCTCTGATTAACTTGGCCTGGCCATATGCAAAAATGCGGAAAATAAATTACTTGGCTTCTTTTCACCCTACTCAATCTGAGTTTATTTATGCAAAGTTGCTTTTTTTCGATCCGAAACCAAGGTCCTGACAAATTGTTAGGATAATTTACTTTCAAGTCATCGGGGACCATGTAAATACTTAACGGTAACAGTTTCTGAAACTTTTCGGTTATTTCAGGCATTGAAATCATTTATTGGAGGCAAAAAACTGGATAACATAAAAGAGAATTGTCCAACGTCCAAAACTAAAACATACAATGTATCAATTCTTGAAATCGATTGAATAAAAAATAGTAACAGATAGTTAACATAATAAAATATTTTGAAGAAATAAAGAAAGAATTGATTAAACTATTTTGTTAAGAAGACTAATTGTATTTTAAAGTCAAATATCTCACAATGACCTTAGAATGACCTCGAGTTTGATATAAAATATAATAATTTTTTGCTTAGAAAAGTTTTAAAATTTCTAAGACTTTTTAATCGTTTTCATCCAATTCTCCCACCCAATTTGCGCATAAGAAAACTCATAAAATATTTCATTATAATTATCAGTTTAATGTCCTCCATGTTTGTTTAAAAAAAAGAGATTCTTAAGTGTACATTGTCTTCCATTTACAACCTAGTCTTATAAACTATATAAAAACTTAAACACTAATTTGTACAGGCAAAAAAAAGTTGGTTTTGGGGAATATAAATACTTTGTGGCTGAGGTAATACTTGTTGGCCAATCAATGGTTCGTTGTGTTTTTTTGATGGTTGAGTGCGACTAGCAATTGCAGGGAAGGATGTCGAAATCGAGATCCCTACAGATCGTCCTGCCAGAGGGATATGTAGTCGAGGATGTCCTCATCTTCGGCACCAGAGCTGCAGGAATTGTTGCGGTAGTCTTCGTAGCTGTTTTCCAATTTGGTGACAATATTGGAGGACGGTGTTGCTGCTGCGATCGCCGATGTTGCTGGTGTGTAATAGGAACTGTTGCTGCTGTTGCTGTTGCAGGAACTCACACTACCAGTGGGCGACTGCAATTGCAATTGCTGCTGCCAGGCGTAGAAGTGTTGCTGCTGCTGCAGCTGCTGATGTTGCTGCTGCTGCTGTTGCTGCTGGAAATGCAGATGTTGCTGCTGCAACTGTTGCTGCGTCTGCTGCTGATGCTGTTGCTTGTCGTTTTCATCAATGACTTTCTGCAAACGGCGTATGTACTCTACGGCCATTTTGAGGGTACTGACTTTGCTCAGTTTTTTATTGGCACCCGGTCCAATTCCCCGACGACCATTGCTCAAATCGGCAATTACGGCCACGGGAATATGCTGCCGGAGTTGACTGAAGCCATTGTTGACCTGCTTGACGCGATTGCGTTCCCGGGCATTGCGTCGGATGACGGAGGGCCCGTTGACCGGAGAAGTTGCCACCTCCTCATCGTCGTAGAACAAAGACTGATTCTCGCTGCCCAGAGCCATTTTTTTCCAGAGATTTCGAATTTATAACGTTGAGTATATAATAATGACTGGGATCGTCTCTACTTGAGCGCTGGCTCCGTTCTGATGCCCTTCCCCGTTCCGTTCGGGCTATTTATAGGGGTTCCAGGGCCTAGGGATCGGGATCTCACCTGCGTCATTATCATCTACCTGCCCCTGCCCCCCGACACAACAAAAAAGGTGCAACAGCATCGTCATCACTCAAGGATCGTCTCTTGAGCGGAGTCTTTTTCTCTGATTGGTACAGAGAGCAGAGCATTGGCGAGGTAGTAATATCTCCCGTTCCGTTCTCTCTGCAAATTGCAGCTGCTTTCCGGCCGAGTGTTCCCTTTTTCGAGTGAGAAGAGTTTCTTTCGAGTGGTTTTTGCCCATTTTCAGCTGCCTGCGTCGTCGTCTGCAAACCAAAACTTTAAACCCGGCTCTGTCGCGTGCCGGCTGCCAACCGGTTTAAAAAGCAGACACAAAAAAAAAAGAAGGTCCAGACCCCAGACCCCAGACCCCAGACTTGAGACCCCAGTAACAACCCCTCTGCGGAAAAGGAGCTCGAGCGCCTAATGAAAGTGGCCAGCCAGCTTTTATGACTCTAATAGTTGAGCCACAATAAATCAGAGGGTCTAAACAAATCAAATACTAAAGTGTAGAGTGTTGACGAGGCTGTAAAAATTTAGTTCACTCCATGAGCATGCTTAAAATGTGTGCCTTAAATCAATAAACAGATTTAAAGCAAGGTTATCCATAAAATTTAAGAAAAAATAATAGAGTTCAAAGTATATATGAAAATGAGGAAGACTATATTGGCATTTCTAAACCTAATCATTCTAAACTTCAACTTAAAAGTAGCCGTAGTTAAGTTCAAAAAACCTACATCTTTTGGAAATGCTTGAAGAAAAAAACCTTCATTGTCCTTAACGATGACCTTCTTCTGATCTCTTGTGCCATTTGGCAATCATTGAAAGTTAGACCTTGTGCCGCTGGAATCCAAAGTAATATGGCCCTCCAAGGCCATCCCCTCGTCAACACCTCAAACGGTTACCCATTCGGATCTATAGGATCCTCACAGATCCTGCAAAAAAACCTGATCAGCCGGAGGCACTTTTCTATTAACACTCCTAATGCCCCGGGGTCCTTTATGTCCATCGTAGCAGTTGGATTTCCACTGGGCCGAAAGTCGAAAGCATTTCGAAAGCATTTAGGAGAGGTTGGTTGTGTTTCATCTAGTATTTCTGAAGACCATTGTCCATCGATCGCCGCTGGAGGATTGAGGATTCTGGTTGCACGCTAGGAAACCGTGCCGAAATAGATTTGAATTGGCATTTTCTCGGCATTAACCCACGCTGGGCCTCGTTTAACACTTCGTTTTGCTGCAGCCGCGGGGGATTGCATCGCATTGCATAGGGCAAGGACATCTGAGGACATCTGAAGGCACAGGTCACAGGTCACAGGGCATCCCCGATTTTAGCCAGATGTCCTGTCCAGAGGTCGAAAGAATCGATCATATCCGGTCGGTCATGCAAAATCCATGTTGATGCAATACAAATTCGCTGTGGCTCGTTGGAAAGAAAGGGAAATTTTAAATTTTAAAATACACAAAAAAAAAAATTGTTATTGAAACTATACTACTGCTATATAAATTATAAACTATTAAGCATGAAACCTTTCTGCTGCCGTATCTTTCCTTTCCCATTTCATATATGTACATTTCGGACTGCTGCTCCATGCAGATATGTTTTGTGCGGGGATCGAGGATCGACGATTGGTGATCGGCGATCGGCAGCAGGAGGCGCTATCATTATCTGACACAAAAATTTAATATAAATTATGTTGACATGTTGGCTTAAATATGTACGTACGTCGTGGCTTTTGGGTTTTGCCTTTTGCTGTTGGCTTTTTGCCTTTTTGCTTTTTGCTTTTCTCGCTTGCTGCTTTGCTTACGATCATAATTGAACTGAAGCCGAATCGAGGATCGACTGCTTTTCTGTCTTGGGGCCGACTAACTAGTTCAATAATTGCTAGTAAGACACGGCGACAGCAAAACGAAAAAACCTGGGGGATAACTTTGCTGCGGGGAATTAAGGGGTCTGCTGCTGCATATATGGCATATCCAGCGAATGAAGATGAAGTCGTCATTAATATCGACTCGGCCTGTCAATAACTTGACATCGCATCATTTTTTCCACACTTCCTAAAAGCGGCACCCTTTTCGCCACAGTGAAGCTTCGATCAAAGGACAGCTTCCGTGGCATTTTGCGATGCAAGGTCAGTAAATTGTCATTACCCTACGGATTGTGGCATTTTCGGTGCAAGAAAACGCTGGCTCACGATCACTTGGAGAGCTTCATTTTGATTAAAGAGCGGAGGCGATTTAAGGAGATCATTTAATAGGGTATCGGATTTAAGATTTCTAAAAGTATCATATGAGAAGAAACTGATCTTTTAGGTTGGTCTTGGTTTAAAACAAATCATAGATAAACTTTAACTTTCTGATAAAAAAGTACAAAAAATATTAATTTAGCATTACAGATCTATTAAACACAACCATAATAGCTGAAGAGGGTTTTTTCTACGTGGTATGATTTGATTTATGAAATATAGAATATAAAATATTATTTGTGTTTATATTAATCCAAAAAGAAAACGGCTTTCAGTGTTTTTTTTTTGTCCACAATTTAAAGTCTTTGGTAGGATCTTCTTAAAGAGAAAACGAAACCCTTTTGTCTCAACATTGAGCCTAGATATCATTGAATTTTATTCCATTTGCTGATCGAATCAAAAGTCAACTGTCAACTGTTCATGGCCATCAAATTGCCGCCTGATCACCGATCCATTGACGATGAAAGAACGAAAGCCGCTCTCGGTTTCGGTTTCGATGCCCCGACTCCCACTCTTTAGATATATATATATATCTGATAACTGATTTATGGGAGCAATGCGAATATGTCAGCGAATCGGTGCGACATCTAAGGTGAGCGTTTTGACGCCGCCAATTCTATTTGGCCAATGCCTTGGATTGCCAACTGGCAATGATATTTATGGCCAGAAGCAAAAGGCAGCAACAGCACCTCCAGAAATCCAACGAAGAAGGATGGCGATTTTTGATTAATTGTAATGCGAGAACTTTGATTAATTGCGGGCAGCAAGCGGCCCCAACATAACAATTTGTTTTGGCATTGCATTAAATCAGGCAAAAAGCCGGGCCAAGTCGGGGGATTTCGGTTTTCAGGCATCATCACGGCGTGAGATTGTAAGGCCAACACCTCGATAGCCTTTGCTGCCGTATTTATGAGTTGGCTCAAAATTTATGAATGGTCCACGGCTTTTGGCCTCGACCATCAAGCGGCTCTTTTCGCGGTGAAACACTTGAAAAAATAAAAATATATTATCATGCCTAAATATGTTTTACTTTATAATTGTTATTCTATGAAATCTTTTAATAGTTTTATTTTAATGCCCTAAAATCAGTTATCTAATTCTATTCTTTATATATGCATGCAAATGATGTTAAATTATAAAGCATACATAGTTACACACATCACAAAACTCAATGGCTCCGCGAATATCTGATTTGTTTTATTAATTTTTTTTTATTATACAGTCATTTTTTTTTGCTGTGTTTTTCGCTCTTCTTCTTCCCCTTTCATCTGCTGGCAATTGCAATTATGCAAAAAGTTGTCAAATACGGGAGGCATGGGGCGTGGCACAGCATGACTATCAACAAAATACAATCAACAACAACAAGAGCAGTCGAAAAAAATTACCGATACAAAAATTGTACCAGTTTTTGTATTCTCCGACAGAGCTCTCAGCAATTTACATGTCTCATGGAATCAAGAGCACTCCGTATTCGCCGTACCGTACCGCCCAACAAAACCAATCAACGCGTCTGTCAAAGCCGAAAAAAAATAAAAATAATAATACAAAAAATATAGAGGAGGCAACTTGGAAGCGGTTGCTTATCGGTAGCCGCGCTGAAATCAGCTTCTGGCACTCACGATCAGCAGAAAACCCGCCAGTCGACAGTGGACAGTGAAGCCCCCCTAAAACCGAAAACCCCCCGCGGGAGTACAGGTGACCAAGTGCACCTTCAACTGGAGATCGACCCTTTAGCGATCCGTGCTCGTTGCTCCTGTCACAATTACAACAGCAAGTGCAGCGGACTAATGACAACCACGGTGGCAGTTGCCCCCGCACAGTGGGCCAATATTTAGCAAATTAACAACGATTTTTCAACAATATTTTTTGTTTTTGATATAGTTAATATTTGGCAGAGACAAGAGGTTATATTTTCATTTTCGCATCTAAAGTTGGGATAATTGGAAAACCATATTTTTAAAAATTTTAATAGATAATTTTTATGAAAACCAAGATCCTTAAATTGTTTTTGGTATTTAGGGTCTCAAAGAGAAATTTGACTTTACTTGTTCTCTAAAAATACTTTTGATAAAGAAAAATTTTCATGCAACATATAAAAAAATTTTTTTTATAACTAACTTTTGCTTTAAATATTTTCAAAAATAATACAAATATTTTTATGAATTAAAAATCTCTACTGTGCACTGTGCAAATTGACATGGAAACCTGATATTGCACACACGCGCCTCGTGGCCCGAGCCTTAAGTTGAGGTCTTGAGGTCTGGAAATGGGATGGGATTGGTACTGAATACTGGGTATTTGGGCACTGGTTACTGGATACTGGATTTACTGGGCTTTGGGAGCCTTTCGTCGAGACTCGAGCCTCGCGACTCGAGACTCTTTTTACCTTTTGGCGTGCGCGTGCAGTGCAATTAACTTTTGTAGTAAGTCAGCCGGGGCAACACTTGACATTGACTTGGCTGGCAAAAAAAAAAGAATACTATAATAAAGTAGAGGGGGGATAGGGATCCAAAAGCGTGGACTTGGGGCGACAATTTCACCTGTTGCCTGTTGCCGCTGACACAGTAACTTATATTATTTGCATGCGTCGAACAGGTTTATATACTATATGAAAAAAAAGAGATAAAATGGCGTTGACTGCCACGTGCAAAAAATAATAATAGCACAAAAAAAAGACCC